ACCTCGGAAAAGCCGTGGAGCTGGGACCCCAGGCTCTCCCCGCGGTCCGATCAAACCCCTGCTACAGGGCGCGCGCTTCCTCCGCGCGGGCCCTCGCCGCGCCTTCCGCCCGCGCTTCGACACGGGCCTCCACCAGGCGGCCGTGCCGCTCGGCGTGGCCCCATCGCTGCCTCCAGGGCTTCGCCCGCTCCTCTGCGTTCCGCTCTTGTTGCGCTGCCGCCGGCGCCTCCTCTTCCTCCTCCTCCTCCTCGTTTTCTGCCTCCTCCCCTTCCTCCTCCTCGACGCTCGTTTTGCGTTGCCTCCTGCCTCGTTCCGGGGCCGCCGTCCTCGCCGCCGTCCTGGCCGCCTTCTCTGGCCTCGGCGCCTCTTTGCGACCTCCTCACGGTCTCGTCGTCGCTCTCTTCGACGCTCGTCCGGCGTTGCCTCCTGCCTTCATCTGGGGCCGCCTCGTCGCGGTCGTCCTGGCCGCCTCTTCTGGGCTGCCTCCACGCCTCTTCGTTGCCTCCTCATAGTCTCGTCGTCGCACCCCTGCCGCTGCTTCCTCCTCCTCCTCCTCCTCCTCCTCCTCCTCCTCCTCCTCCTCCTCTATCTCCTCCTCCTCCGCCGCCTCCTGTTCCTCCTCCTCCTCCTCCTCCTCCTCCTCCTCCTCCTCCTCCTCCTCCTCCTCCTCCTCCTGGTCGCCTTCCCTCGCCTCGTCGTCCTCGACGCCCGCCGCCAGTCCATGCGCCTCGCGCGACGGCCGCCGCAGCCGCCGCCGCTTGCGCCGCCGCCGCCGCCAGGCAGGCCGGGGTCGCCATTGGCCGCGGGGGCGCTGCAGCCGCTGCAGAATGGCCAGCGCGATTTCCTGGTGAGGGCAGATGGGGAGTCGCTGGGCCATCCTGCCCGCCGCGCTGGCGGCCTCCTCCCCGCGCACGTCGGCCGCGCACTTGGCCAGCGCGGCGAAGGCGAAGGTGAGGTCCGCGTCGCGGCAGGCCTGCGCCGCGCCCTGGGCCCTGGCGCTGCCGCTTGAAATTGCTCCTCGCGCCCGTCGAGGGCGGCGGCCCAGTCGGCGGCGGCGCGCGCGACGAGGTCCGCGCGCAGGCCCGACGCCGCCGCGAAGTCATTACACGGCGGCCGAGAGCCCGCCGCGCCACCGGGGACATAGACTAGCTGTCACCGCCACCGCCACCGCGCCATCCGCTGGCCGGCGGCCGTCGCTGTCTAGTCCGTCGCCGTCCGGCCCCTCGGCAACTGGCCCTTCGCCCGGCGCCCGCGGCAGCAGCAGTCCTTGCCGCTCCATCTCCGCCCCCGAGAGGCCGGCGGCCTGGGCGGCGAAAAAGGTGTCGCCCCGCTGCTTGTCGCGGCGGCGCGCGCGGTCGCCCTCGCAGGCGCGCGTCAAGGCGCGCTCGCAGCGCGCATCCATGAGACTTCCCTGCGCGCCGGGCAGAATGCTTCCACGTCGATCAGCTGGGCCCGGAGCCGTCGCTCGATCCCGATCTTCATCGGGCCGCGCGGGACCGCCGCGCCGAGCGCGTCGCCGGGGGGCGCCTGCAGGCGCGCGCTGGCGCCCGGCGCAGCCGCCAGGCGAGGCGGGCGCGCGTCGCGGGCGAAGCAGTGGCCCCGGAGGGCGGCGCGCGCAGCGTCGTCGACCTGGTCTGAGAGAATCTCCCGGTCGGAGTGCGTCTCGCAATCGAAGCGGGCGGCCCGCTTCGCCTCTGCCGCGAAGCGCCGCAGTCAGGGCCCCGGCGTCGCCTACCTCGTCGCCCGTGTAGCCCGCGCACATAGACTGGCAGGGCTCGCTGCTCTTGGCGCGCGAGGCAGGCCGCCGGCGAACGCTTCTCGGCGGAGCGCAGCCCCAAGCCGCCCTTGCTTAATTTCAGCTGTGCTCGGGCCCAGGAGTCGTCGGCGAGGGAGGCGCAAGCCAGCTGTTCCAGGCAGGAGCGCGCTGCGGCGCCCGTCTCCAGGAGGGCCTCGGCGCGGGCGGAGGGCGGCGCCGCGCGCGCCGAGCGGCGTGAAGTCGACGATCGGGGAGGGCGGCGAGAATGGCCTCGCTCGCGCGGTGGGCGCCCAGGGCAGGGGTGGGGCCCTGGCGGGGAAAATGGTCTGCGCCACGGCTGCGGCGGCTTGGCCACTCCCGCCGCTCGAGCGGCGGGCAGTCTGCACCTCCCGGGCGGCTATGGCCCCCGCGGCAACGGCTGATGGCGGCGCGGGGGAGAGGTGCCGCTGGAGGTGCGGCCTGAGAAAATTCGCGCCGCGGCTCCTCCGCGCACTGCTCCGACCCTTCCGCCCCGCATTGTCCTGGGCGCGGACGGGGGAACTGGGCCCCCCGGCGGGGAGCAGTGCTCGGCCTGGGCCTGCTCTCCGATCGGGGGAGCGTTGCCGGGGGGCGGCCGGTCCTGCTGGAGCGGGCGCGCGACTGCGCCCCGGCGCTGGCAGGCCGCGCGCGCCCCGCGCCCTCCTGGCCGCCCATGGCCCAAGGGGGGGGGCGCGCCGACTGGGACTGGCCGATCTGGGCGGGCGCGGGGCCCCCGCTGGAGGTGCCGCGGGGAAGAGGCGCAGGGGGCCCCGAGAGCAAGGTTCACGTCTGCCCGCTGGGGACTGGAGGCCGTCGCCGCGGGCACTTGCCCCGCTCGGGTCTAGGAGCGGGTTGGGCGGAGGCGGCGTTGGCAGGAAGCGCTTCCGCTCGGGCGGGTTTTCGGGGCGCACTTGGGCCCCGCCTCGGGAAGTCGACTGGGCTGCGCTCGCAACGCCAGGTCGCTTCCCATTGTCAGTTGAAGAACAGGATGATCCAGTCGCCGAATGGCGGCGGGCCGCGAGCGTCGGACCTGGAGTCGGGGATGACTCTAAGGGCGCGCCCGCGCTGCCACTCGCGCAGCGGAGCGGCGCTGGCGCAGCGGGCGCTGTTGCACTTCCACCCGCCTGTGCCCGCGTTCCCCCCGAACCTGTCGCCCCCGGCGCGTCGGGCGGGGATCGCGGCGCCCGCGCTGGCCGGCCCCGCGCGCCGGCGGAGAGACGCCCGGGCGTCGGGGAGGAGGGGGGGTGGTTCGGAGGGCAGGAATCCAAGCGCGATCGAGTCCTTGGGGAGGGGCTGCAGTGGCTCGCGGTCGCGCGGGAAAGTGGCTAGCTTCGCCCCTTCGGGGGTGGGGTTGCCGACGACATCTTGATGTGCCCTTCAGCAGCCAGCGCAGTGCCAGCGGCAGTCGACGCCTCGCTTGTAGAAATCCGGACGGCTGCCTGCGAGGAGCTGGGTCGAAGGGACCTTGCTTGCATCCGCCACAGTAGACCTTGGGAATGCGGTCGGTTGCGTGGAAGAGGTTGTCTCCCTTCTGCAGCGTGGCTGGCCGTAGAGCGGCGCCGGGCAGGGCCCCTGTTGGCGGGGGCTTGTGGAGATCCCCCCCGCTGCCGGATGCTCCGCCGCCTATGAATGGGATCGTCGTCGCAGCGGGCGCAGAGGGCAGGAGCCCGACGTCGGACCCAGATGGTGCGCAGACTGCGCACTGGTGCCTGCTGAGGACGGACAGGTCTGCGGGAGCAGCGAGGATGTTGCAGACCGCTCATGTGTCTTCGAGCGGGACGTCGAGGGAATGGCCCGCTCCAGGTGCAGGCCTGCCAGGTTCCCCTGACGGATCGAGGGCGGCGCCCGACGGTGACAATGTTGGAGCAGGCCGTGATGAACCTCTCCATGTTGCCGTGGAGCCTGTGAAGTCCTGCTCGGCGAAGCGGCGCGCCTTCCCAAAGCTGCCCCTCAAGGGCAGCTGGGCCTTATGCGCGGCCCCGCGCAAGCCGAAGGCGGCAAGTGTGCAACGGAGGGCTGCCCTTGGCGGCGGGAGCATTCGCGCGCGGTTTGACTCCAAGCGGTGGGGGCGGGGGCCGGGGGGGGGGGGGCCGTGGGGGCCGTGGTCGGCTGCATTCCTCCAGCGGCCGTGGCCTTGGCGTCCTTTTGGTAGCGGTGGTAGTCGGTCTTCGGGTATGCATCGGTCGCGGCTGCTACTGGGCTGTAGCCCTGCAACCAGGAGTAGGCATGCTCAAATGGCGGCGTACGTATACGTAGTTGGTGGGGCCGATGCCCAGCTCCACGTCCAAGAGGTAGCGTCCAAGAGGTAGCCGTCGTGGCTGACCGTTTTGCGGCACTGCTCGAAGAGCTCCCTGGGCGCGTCCACGGGGCCATACAGGTGCGAGTGTAGGCTGAGGACGTACTAGAGGACAGGGGCCAGGGCGGGAACACACGCAGGAGGGTGATGCCTGCTGCTCGTAATTCGACTGCACAAACATAAGCTTTGAGACCCGCGCGGGTTTCTTCCATCGGAGCTGGGACCCCCCTCCCAGGCGCGCGGAGCGCGGCAGGGGCGGCGCTGCGGCGCTAGATGCGCTGGCAGGGGGGGGGGGGGGGGGCAACGCAGATCCAAGAAATCCGCGCGGAGCTCCGAAACTCTAGGTTTATCCCGCGTTCCCCTCTTCGAGACGAGGGGAGCACAATTATTACCAGGACGGGAAAGAAAAAGATGAGGCGGGCGAGCCCAAGGAAGCGGAGAAGGGCGACGAGAGTCAGGCGAGTCGTTTTGGAAACTCATTCTAACATATACTGCCCCAGCTAAGTAGCCTTTAATGACATCTAGCGTAGCGGCTTGCACGGTGTCCTCAACGACCTTAGCAGCCTTTAGCGGCCTGCAGTCGCCTTTTAGCAGTCGCTAGTGGCCTCCGGCGGCCTTTGGCAACCCTGGGAGGCGCTCGGCGACCTTGAGTAGCCTCTATAGAAGTGCAAAGAGGCGAGCTTCCAAAGGACCCGCCGAATGAGCAGGGGTACAGTCGGGCTCGATTGGACAGGACACGCGAGAGGACACAAGACCCTTCCGAGGGCCACATTGCCGCAGGAATGCAGGAAGCACGGGTCGCGAGACACAGGACACAAGGGTACCCTTGATTTGGCAGGGTCGACCTACTAGTCTGGGCCGACTGCACTGCGGCGAGGGGTCCCAGGAGGTATCTGCAAGGAGGGCCAGGAGTGCTGGGGGGGAGCGGCGGCCTGCAGCCGCCGGCCGCCCCTGGAGGCCGTCAGGAGGAGCTGCGACGGGTCGCACCGGAACATGCTCAGGAAGTGGGCGGTCGATGCGGCCTCAACCTGAGCGGGGATCGCGAAGAACACAAAGGAGGCGGACGGTGGGGAGGACGAGGAGGACGGGGAGGAGGCGGGCGAGGAGGAGGACGAAGAGGACGGGGAGGCGGGCGAGGAGGAGAACGAGGAGGCGGACGAGGAGGACGGGGAGGAGGAGGACGATCTGGAGGAAGTGGTCGGTCGATGCGGTTTAACCTAATCGGGGATCGCGATCAGATAAGACGGCGGCCTGGGGCCAGTCGTGGGCCAGCTAGCCCTCGGCCTCGAGGTCGGAGGCACGGCGGACGAGGAGAAGCACGAGGAGGCGGACAAGCTTTTGAACTCGGCAAGGTGCCCACGGATGCGGGGACAAAAACCAGACTATCAGTCAAAGCCTGACTCGATATCGACGCTCGTGCCTGGCACAGCAGAATGAGAAGCGCTGTCACGCCTCAAATCTTAGGCAACACTGCGGAGCGTCGAAGAAGACTCGAACATGTCTGGACTAAAATCATCGCAAGTGACTCCTGCGAGCTTCGGGTGCACTCCTTTCGACAGAGAGCGCAGCACAGCAGAGGCATACATGGTCAAGGATCCTTTGGCCTCGGGCTTGCACTCAGCTTGCAATGTCTTGAATTGACTTCCACACGAGTCCCCATAGCATTGGGTGCACAAGTACAGCATAGTGAAGAGGGACCGCAGCAGCCCGATGCACGAATGACCACGCTCCTGGAGGCCAAGGGCAAAGGGCGGAGGCTGACCTGAGCAGCCTGCAACATATGGACACATCTCCTGTTGTTTGATGGAGAAGCAGGCTTGACACTTCCAAAGGGTGCGACACCAGAGCCATTTGTGGGCCTTTCAATTCGAGTCTTCCTTGGTCACAGAAGGGGAGCTACGCACCAAGGGGATTTCTGTGATGTCGAGTTTCGACCAAAGAGGGAGGACCTTGTAAGCGAGCTTGCGCACCTACGGAGCTGTCTTCGTCGTACTCTGGCGGTCGCTCGACTCGGAAGGCGTGGGCTGAGGATGGGCTGCCCCTCCTCGTTTGGCGGCGAGGTCGGCTGCATCATTCTCCTCTTCGTAGAAACGCTCCAGGGCACGTACGTTCTCTGAGTCTAAGCGTGAGCTCTGACTGAGAGACAGCTGCGTTTCAAACAGATGGCGCCGTATAGCCTCTTGTACGACGTCTGTCAAGCACGAGGCTGCGCGAACTGCTTCATAACGTTACTACAACCGCTGCACCCGAGAAATGGGCCAGACATGAACTCACTGGAGGCCCCGTAGGCCCCAACCTCCCCCGCCTGAGACGTTTCGAGCAGGTCAGCCCATCAAGGGCCTTGGAGGAGGCGGACGAGAAGGAGGACTTGGAGGAGACGGAAAATGAAGACGAGGAGAAAGAGAACGATATTGAGAAAACGGGCGGCACAAGGCTTCCCACAGGATGAGACCGCCAACACGCGCCCGGCAAACCCCTAAAAGGCTCCAAGAGGCCCAACAGAGAATGCCCCGGTAGGCCCTTCAAACGGTTCCTGAGAGGCACAAGGCCTCACCTCACCGGTGATCATGCGGGACGCATGGTCATGCTGGACACCGTTGCCAACCATACTGCGACCAAAAGGATGACGAGTGGTGGAGGCCGACAGCCAAACCATACATCGAATCATGCCAAGACGGCTTTCGTAGAGGGTTGATCGCGAAATTGCTTGACACCACACAGGTTTCATTCAGATCGACCAAGAAGCAGCCTTTCGTTTCAAATTCGAAACCATGTGCGAGGATCTTGGAATTACACGCATTCCAATGGTTCACGAAGAACATCACCAACATGGCAAGGCATAGCATCATATTCTCTACCATGAGGAGATGGCCACAAAGGTCTTCCCAGACCTCGAGGTTGAGGGCGACGAAGGTGCTCGGATTGCTGGACTTCAGATCGCCCAGGCAGTGAGCCGACTTTCTAATAACAAAAAACCGTACCTATACGACCACCCTTCGGGTGATAAGGAGGTGAGGGGGAGGAGGGGCCAACGTCGCACTCCATCGATCTCACTATCGAACTCACTACCCATCTCATAATCGATCTCAATCGATCGATCGCACAATCGATCTGACGATCGATTTCACAATCGATCTCGCAATCGATCTCACATTCGGTCTCGCTATTGATCTCAAAATCGATATCACAATCGATATCACATTCGATCTGACTATCGATCTCACTACCGAACTCAGTTTGGATCTCGTTATCGATCTTACATTCGGTTCACTACCGATCTCACTGTCGATATCACAACCGATCTCAGAATCGATCTCACATTCGATCCCACCATCGATCTCACTATCGAACTCACTATCGATCCCATTATCAATCTCAATCGATCGATATCCCAATCGATCTGACTATCAATCTCACAACCGATCCCACAATAGATCCCACAATCGATCTCACATTCGGTCTCACTGTCGATCTCACGATCGATATCACAACCGATCTCACAATCGATCTCCCATTCGGTCTCACAATCGATCTCACTACCGATACCACTATCGATCTCACTATCGATCTCACAATCGATATGACACTCGGTCTCACGCTCGATCCTACAATCGATATCGCTATCGATCTCACTATCGATCTCACATTCGACCTCACCATCGATCTCACTATCGATAATCAAAATAAAACGCCAACATCATCATCACCATCATCATCAACAACATCAACATCAACATCATCATCATCATCATCATCATCATCATCATCATCATCATCATTATCATCATCATCATCATCGGGACACCGACGGGACACCAGCGGGACACCGGCGGGACACCGCCGGGGCCCAGCCGCCCGGGAGGGAGACATTTGATCCGGCCGCGCCTCAGCCACACGGGACACCAGCGGGACTCCGGCGGGACACCGCGGGGCCTCGGCCGCCCGGAAGGGAGACATTTGGTCCGGCCGAACCTCAGCCACAGGAGACTTTCTCTCGCCCGCCCACGCAGCTTCGCCTCGCCCGCACGGCACGCACGGCACGCACGAACACGAAACCGAAATCAATTTCCCGGTAGGGGGGCTCTCCGTCCCACTTCGATCTCACCCTCTCACCTCCGATTCAACTCAACGGGGTCTTGGCCAAAAAAAACACCATTACAAGCATCTATGGGAGATCAACACCAGAACGGCCATCGCAGGCCAGATGACCGAAGGATCTCGCAGGTGGCATCATCTTCGACTACAAGAAGCATGCAACATCGCATCTCATCAGACACAGAGCGAAACCCTTTGTTATACCTAGCGTCCAATTCGAGGAGGCCACGGCTGGACTGATTGCGGCACAGGCGGGCCCAGACAAAGGGGCGCAAGGAGGCCCGGGCGCAGCGCGCGATGCCTCGGGCGCCAGGTCGGGCAGGTCATTCTACAAGCGGAGTTTGAAGGACAAACGCAAGATCCGCAAACATGCTCATACCTTTTATATATATATATATATATATATATATAATATATATATATATATATATATAAAAAAAAAAAAAAAAAAAAAAAAAAAAAAAACGTCCCCTGACGACGGTTCCCATTTTTGAATATTCCTCCGGTAGAAAGACAGGCCCGACTTAAAACAAGCGGCAGCTCCGCGCACCCGTTCGCGCCGCGGCTCCTGACAGACAAAATCAAAACCACCAGTCTCGACGAGGGCAGTTGGCCCACGATCAGGACGGACATGCACGCCGTGCAGGAACCGCGAGCGGCGACGCGCAGCGACGCCCACCTCTCGCGTCGGCGAATACTGCGCAGCCCACTCGCGGACCCGAATGACTCGAAGATCCAGTCGAAGAGCTTCGTCCGCGAGAGCTCCAGCCTCCAACGGCCGAAGGGGTCGCGTCCCCCATGATCGGAAAAGGTCCTCCCGCTCGGGGCCGATCGTCGGCATCTGCGCGGCGCCCGCCAGGCACCTCGCCAGATCGGACGCCCCTCGCCGCAGCCGGCCATCGCCGTGCAACGCCTCGTCCACGGCGACACAGAGCTGCCCGAACAGCGCCGTCAGCTCCATCTCGTGGCCCGAGGGGCGGCGCAGCGCGCGCGCGCGGCGAAAACGAGCCTCGCCGCTCGGCTCTCCTCCTCGACGCCGGCCATCTGCAGCGCCCGGCGAATCACCTGCGCGGGCGCGGGCGGCATGGCGCGGGAATCCATCCACCGCTAGGCGGTCGCGCGCCACCAGCGCCCCCTGCGCCGACCGCGCGAGGCGACGCGCAGTCCGCCCGAGCCCCGCGAGCCACGACCGAGTAGGCGCCGCCAAGGTCACGCCCGACAGCAAGGCCCCCAGAACTTGGGGCCGAAGGCCTGCCCGAGGACCTCGACAGACACCCCGGACTTCCAAAAGCGGCCCACGCCCATGAAACCCCCGTTCGCCGCCGAGACACGCGACTCGAGCTCAGCCGCCACACGGCCCTGACAATGTAGAAGAGGGCCCATAAGCGAGCCGCTGCGGAGCAATTGCCGCGCGCGCCCATCCTGCCGCCGCAGAACGCCCTCGACAGGATCCTCGCGCATGTCGAACGCATGTCACCCGCGACCACAACGTGATCGCCACCTCCTAGCTAGAGATCGAGACTGAAATAAACACCCTGCCGCCCCATGCCCCTTTCATCCGACCCGACGGCATGAAATTGCCAACGATTCGACGCAATGGATTAGGATCCTTGGCCCCAGATGGTAACCAGTCAACGCATGCCAATATATGACGACAGAAACGTATGCGCAGCGCTCTGTTCCGCGTCTCGTATAGAAACAAGCGGAAGCAACTGCCAGCGTCGCATTCGACATCGGGCGCCACGTCGCCAACGCACTCTGGCACCTGTGAACCAAGCGCCGCATTGGCATCTAGAAGGCCGCGCAGTGGCGCGGGCTGGGCCCGCCTGCCGCGCGCGGAAGCTGGACCCCCCCCCCCCCCACCACGCTTGCACTTCGAGGGGGCGATGAGGGCAAGGAGCATAGCCAACAACCAAAACGATGCACAGTGTGGGAACGCGAACAGCCACCGCAAGCTGCCAGGGCGAGTAGCTGATCACGCGTGCATGTCGACGTGCAAGCATGCGACCGCGCGCGCACTCATGCTGTGATCCACAGAGCAGGCCCATCCTTCCCTCGACTCTCAGCAGCGGCAGCGACAACTAGAAAGCCCCCTGCAGGCGGCCGCCCGCTGCGGCGCACGCGAGTCTCCAACGTGCGAATCAAATGAAAACGGCGAGCAGAGATTTGGCGAGCAAGAGCCGGCATGCGCCCAGGCAGGTCCAGGACGTCCGCGTCTTCGCATCGGCAAAGAGGGCGGCTTCCTGCGGGGCCGCGTCGCGAGTGCATTCGCCGCGGCAAAATGACAAAAGGCTGCGAACGCGACGTCTGAGACTCTCGCGGCGCGCAAGTTTCCCGAGCTGCGCCCATCCAGCGGCGAGAGGTCAGTCTCCAGGCCCAAAGGAGTTCGGGTAGATGGGCGGCATTTCGCATGGGCCAACATCCGGATGCGCCCCGAGACCGAAGTCGGCAATGCAGACATCCATGACCGAGGCGCATCAGCGGCGGCATCCATCAGCACTGGCCACAGATGAACATCGGGCTCCACTGTCGGCGCAGTTCCGATTGACGACAGTCCTGCCAGGGTCTCTGCAAGCTCGTTCAACGGATCGGCATATTGCCCCAGGTCGCATTTCAAGCTCGACTGAATGCACCGTCGCAAAAATCCAAAGGCGCCCTCGAAGACCCAAGGGAGGCCCCCCCAAAGACGCACACCTGGCATCCCTGTCGGCCGAGAACGCCACCGGGATATTGTCGGTATATGCCGCCGCTGGATGAGCCCGATGTCTCTCTGGCGAGTGCAATAGCCACGGCGCCGACCATAGCGCGCCTTGACATCCAGCGGCGCCGGCTCGGCTGGCAATGGAGTTGGAGGGACCTGGATAGGTTCCACACAAATGCCCCATCACATCTATACCTGCCTGTCGCCGCAACTGCAAATATGCGGCATGCCCAAGACGCGGTCCACCCAATAGAGGCTGTTTGGAACCTCCGGAATCATCTGTGTAAAACTCTATGATAACCTGATCGTCATCGGGGGGAGCTCCGTCGGTCTCAAAAAACTGGCTGGTACTCCTATGGAAGCAGGTGTGAAAAAAAGGGCAGTGGTCGGGTCAGCGATCGGGCCAGAGCAAAAGTTGCTGGCGCGAGAGAAGCGCAAGTTGTCCATGGCTGCGAGAGCTTCCTGATCCAAGAACAGAAATCAGGAATCGGGAAACGCAAACGCGAGGTCCCAGACTCCATCTGAAGCAACGGAACAAACGAGAAAGCCGGCAAAAAGCCAGCGTCGGGTAGTCTGAAAAAAACGGCTCGGGCACCTCACTCCCATGGCCTGCCCGCCAAGCCGCGTCGCCCCAGCGACGACTAGCCCGTGGACTCCTGCGCTGCGCAGCCTCCGCTCATATCGAGAAAGCCATCCTGTCTGGCCCCTCATCGGGCCGCGGCCACGGCTGCGCCGTGGGCGACGCGAAGCAACGTCCGCAATGTCAGCGCGTCTTGCAGGAGCAGTTGGCACGACGCCGCGGCCGCGATGACTGGCCGCCTCCTGGCGCGCAATAGCGCCGCGAAGTCCCCGATGACCACTCGGTCGGCGCGCGCGGCCCTGCTCGCGCCAGGCCTTCCGCGCCGCCACAACGCGGGCCCTGGGCCCAGGCATCGGCGCCGCGGGCGGCGCCTCCGCGGGCGGGGCAGCGGCGTCCACGGGCCCACTCACAAGAGCCGCCGCTGCCTCGGCAACGGCAGGGGCCGCGGCGGCGCGGAACTCGGCGCTCGGGGCCGCAGCAACAGCGGCTACATCAAACCAGGCTGGTGCCAAACGCTGCGGCTGCCCAACGAAGGGGCGCGCGGGGGCATCGGGGGCTCCAGCGCCCTCTGCTGCCGTCGGAGCCGATGCCGCGCGCGCCGCCGTCATCTCCGTCCGCAGTGTCGTCAACAAGTATGTGAGAGACGTGAGCTGATGGGTGAGCTGCGCCTGGCCGCGTTGCGACTCCGCGATGGCCGCGATGGGCGGCGCGCGATAGGGCGGCGTGCCTGGGGTTACTCCCGGCGCCGGTAGCGCTGGCGCCATGGGCGCATCAGCATCCTGTTCTTCAGCGTCAGCAAGCGCGGAACCATCGCCTCGAACTGCTCCAGCAGCATCTTGCCCAGTGCCTGTTGGCACTGCTGCACAATGGCATCCATCTCCTCAAGGGTATTATGAGCCTTGTCCGCCGCCACCTGGGCCTTCGCGAGTTTGCCTTAAACCCGCCGCACAAACGCCCTCTGCCGATCACATCGTGCGCCTGGCACTCGGGCCGTGATGATCATGCAGAGTTAGACTGCATGCTCTTCCTGCTGCGGCGTGAACTGCTCGGCTGTCACGCTGATGTCCTTGGCGGCCTTCAGGCGCTTACCAGTGGCGGCTGCCATCTGGCGGAGCGGGCGCCTGTGGGCCGTCATCTCGCGCTCGTCAGCGGGCGGCTCGACCCAAGCTGGGTGGACCCAAGCGCGTCCAGCGGCAAGGCAGGCAAAATGCCTAGCGCTGGGCTGCGGACCTCCTCGTCGCTGCCTGAGGCCTGGCCGTCGGGCTCTACGTCGGTCTCCGTCTCGTCGCCGGCGAAGCGCACACGAGACGTCGAGCGGCGCTGGCGCAAGGTATCCTCATCACGATCACGATGGCGGTCTCGGCGTCGGCGGCGCGAGCCTGACCGAGGACGAGGCTGCTCGCCCTGCCGTTTGCCCGCCTGGGATGCACCATCCCGCCGCGGCTGCCGCTGCTCAGCGCCACCATGGCCGCCGCCGCCGTGCCCAGGCCCGCGCCGCGCGGGGGGGCGGGCATGCACACGCGGCACAGCAAGTCCTCGGGGTCATTGAATCCGCCGCACGTGTCGCACCACCAGCCTGGCGGCGGCGGAAGCACCGAAGTGGCCCAGGGAGGGGCGCGCGGACCAGGAGCCGCGCCGCCACAAGGCCCATTGCGCCCCCCTTCCCTTTGCCGCCGCCCTTGCCCAGGTGCGCCATGCCCCCCAGACTCGCCCGAGCTGTGGTGGCGTGCCAGGAGTCGAGCAGCAGCTGCCACCCGCAACAGCGTCCGAGAGTCGGCACAGCGCTGGCGGGCGCGGCGGTGCCACGCGGTCTCAGCACAGCGGGGGCGGGGGCCGCGCCGACCGGCGGCCTCCCCGCGGGGCACGGCCAGACCCAAGCCGCCCAGTCGACGGCGCGGCTCACGGGGCGCGGGGCAGCGCGCGCGGCCGCCGGTGGAGGCCGCTGCCACCTGGACGGCGGCTAGGGAGGGGGGGGGGGGAGGGGGAGGGGGACGATGACGGGCGCGCAGGAAACAAAAGGGGAGGCGCAGCAGTACCAGGCTGGGCCACGGCCAACGCAAGATCCGAGGGATGAGGAGGCGGAAATGCAGGAGGATACTGGTTGTAGTAGGTGCTCTTGGGGTGAGGGTCTGGGAGGACTCTGAGCAGGCGCGTGAGAAGCAAGGAAGGCAATGCATCCTGGCCCACCAACAGCAACATCTTACCCGTCCCTCGTTTCCTCGCGCTCTGCGTTCCTCTTCGCCGCCCTCTCTCCTTCATCCCTCCTCCCCGCTTCCCCCTCCTCGGGGGGCGGGCTGCACCCTCTCCCGCAATACCCGCCCCACACAATGTCTGACGAGCCATCCGTGCGCGTCAAACGATCCCTCCTCCCCGCCCCTCGCCCTCCTTCTACCATCCCTCGCCCATCGCCCTCCTTCTACCATCCCTCCTCCCCGCCCCTCGCCCTCCCCGCCCCTCGCCGCTCGTTCGTCCATCCCTGTCCATCAGTCTATCCTCGTCGCCTTCCCGTACCGTCCTTTCATGCCAGTCCAATATATTCCCGCCCCCCCACACCACATGTCACCATGCTTCCAAATGTGTGTATCGCGGCCCTTCTCCCACCGTGGACCTGCGACGAATTCCCACTGCTCGCGAACGTCAGCTCGCTGCTGACGACGAACAAAGGAGTCGTGGTGGTCGTGGCAGAAGTTGTAGTGGCGGTCGTTGTAGTGGAGGTTTCGGTAGTGCTAGTTGCACTGGTGGTGGTCACTGAAGTCGAAGTTTCGGAGGTACTGGTAGCACTGGAACTGGTCGCCGTTGTGATGCTGCTAGTCGCTGTAGTGGAGCTTTCAGAGGTGCTGGTCACACTGGAGCTGTCGGAAATGCTGGTCGCTGTAGAGGAGGTGTCAGAGGTGCTCGTTGCACTGGCGCTGGTGCTGGTCGTAGTGAGAGTGACGGTGGTCAATGATGCTGACGTGCTACTTGTACCACTCGTGCTACTCATTGACGATGCCGTCGTGGTGTGCGGCGTCGTAGTGCTGCTTAGCGTACTGGTGCTGCTAATCGTAGTGCTGAATGACCCTGACGTGGCTGTCCGCGTTGTGCTGCTGCTCGCTGTCTCTGAAATACTCGTCGTCGAGGTGCCAGTGCTTGAAGTGGTCCTCGTCCTAGTTGCACTGGTGCTTGTAGTGGTCGTAGTGAGGGTGGCGGTGGCCGAAGTGAGGGTGGTGGTCGTAGTCAAGGTAGTAGTGCTGGTCTCAGTGGCGCTGCTTGTTGGAGTAGTCGAACTCTCCGTGGTCATAGTTGCACTGCTGCTAATGACGCTGGTAGTAGAGCTATCGGAAATGCTGGTCGCTGTAGAAGAGGTGTCAGTGGTGCTCGTGGCACTGGAACTGGTCGCCGTTGTGCTGCTGCTAGTCGCTGTAATGGAGCTGTCAGAGGTGCTGGTCACACTGGAGCTTTCAGTGGTAGTGGTAGCGACGCTGGTAGTAGAGCTGTCGGAAATGCTGGTCGCTGTAGAGGAGGTGTCAGTGGTGCTCGTGGCACTGGAACTGGTCGCCGTTGTGCTGCTGCTAGTCGCTGTAATGGAGCTTTCAGAGGTGCTGGTCACACTGGAGCTTTCAGTGGTAGTGGTAGCGACGCTGGTAGTAGAGCTGTCGGAAATGCTGGTCGCTGTAGAGGAGGTGTCAGAGGTGCTCGTTGCACTGGCGCTGGTGCTGGTCGTAGTGAGAGTGACGGTGGTCAATGATGCTGACGTGCTACTTGTACCACTCGTGCTACTCATTGACGATGCCGTCGTGGTGTGCGGCGTCGTAGTGCTGCTTAGCGTACTGGTGCTGCTAATCGTAGTGCTGAATGACCCTGACGTGGCTGTCCGCGTTGTGCTGCTGCTCGCTGTCTCTGAAATACTCGTCGTCGAGGTGCCGGTGCTTGAAGTGGTCCTCGTCCTAGTTGCACTGGTGCTTGTAGTGGTCGTAGTGAGGGTGGCGGTGGCCGAAGTGAGGGTGGTGGTCGTAGTCAAGGTAGTAGTGCTGGTCTCAGTGGCGCTGCTTGTTGGAGTAGTCGAACTCTCCGTGGTCATAGTTGCACTGCTGCTAATGACGCTGGTAGTAGAGCTATCGGAAATGCTGGTCGCTGTAGAAGAGGTGTCAGTGGTGCTCGTGGCACTGGAACTGGTCGCCGTTGTGCTGCTGCTAGTCGCTGTAATGGAGCTGTCAGAGGTGCTGGTCACACTGGAGCTTTCAGTGGTAGTGGTAGCGACGCTGGTAGTAGAGCTGTCGGAAATGCTGGTCGCTGTAGAGGAGGTGTCAGTGGTGCTCGTGGCACTGGAACTGGTCGCCGTTGTGCTGCTGCTAGTCGCTGAAGGAAAGCGACGCTGGTAGTAGAGCTGTCGGAAATGCTGGTCGCTGTAGAGGAGGTGTCAGAGGTGCTCGTTGCACTGGCGCTGGTGCTGGTCGTAGTGAGAGTGACGGTGGTCAATGATGCTGACGTGCTACTTGTACCACTCGTGCTACTCATTGACGATGCCGTCGTGGTGTGCGGCGTCGTAGTGCTGCTTAGCGTACTGGTGCTGCTAATCGTAGTGCTGAATGACCCTGACGTGGCTGTCCGCGTTGTGCTGCTGCTCGCTGTCTCTGAAATACTCGTCGTCGAGGTGCCGGTGCTTGAAGTGGTCCTCGTCCTAGTTGCACTGGTGCTTGTAGTGGTCGTAGTGAGGGTGGCGGTGGCCGAAGTGAGGGTGGTGGTCGTAGTCAAGGTAGTAGTGCTGGTCTCAGTGGCGCTGCTTGTTGGAGTAGTCGAACTCTCCGTGGTCATAGTTGCACTGCTGCTAATGACGCTGGTAGTAGAGCTATCGGAAATGCTGGTCGCTGTAGAAGAGGTGTCAGTGGTGCTCGTGGCACTGGAACTGGTCGCCGTTGTGCTGCTGCTAGTCGCTGTAATGGAGCTGTCAGAGGTGCTGGTCACACTGGAGCTTTCAGTGGTAGTGGTAGCGACGCTGGTAGTAGAGCTGTCGGAAATGCTGGTCGCTGTAGAGGAGGTGTCAGTGGTGCTCGTGGCACTGGAACTGGTCGCCGTTGCTGCTGCTAGTCGCTGTAATGGAGCTTTCAGAGGTGCTGGTCACACTGGAGCTTTCAGTGGTAGTGGTAGCGACGCTGGTAGTAGAGCTGTCGGAAATGCTGGTCGCTGTAGAGGAGGTGTCAGAGGTGCTCGTTGCACTGGCGCTGGTGCTGGTCGTAGTGAGAGTGACGGTGGTCAATGATGCTGACGTGCTACTTGTACCACTCGTGCTACTCATTGACGATGCCGTCGTGGTGTGCGGCGTCGTAGTGCTGCTTAGCGTACTGGTGCTGCTAATCGTAGTGCTGAATGACCCTGACGTGGCTGTCCGCGTTGTGCTGCTGCTCGCTGTCTCTGAAATACTCGTCGTCGAGGTGCCGGTGCTTGAAGTGGTCCTCGTCCTAGTTGCACTGGTGCTTGTAGTGGTCGTAGTGAGGGTGGCGGTGGCCGAAGTGAGGGTGGTGGTCGTAGTCAAGGTAGTAGTGCTGGTCTCAGTGGCGCTGCTTGTTGGAGTAGTCGAACTCTCCGTGGTCATAGTTGCACTGCTGCTAATGACGCTGGTAGTAGAGCTATCGGAAATGCTGGTCGCTGTAGAAGAGGTGTCAGTGGTGCTCGTGGCACTGGAACTGGTCGCCGTTGTGCTGCTGCTAGTCGCTGTAATGGAGCTGTCAGAGGTGCTGGTCACACTGGAGCTTTCAGTGGTAGTGGTAGCGACGCTGGTAGTAGAGCTGGTCTGTCGGAAATGCTGGTCGCTGTAGAGGAGGTGTCAGTGGTGCTCGTGGCACTGGAACTGGTCGCCGTTGTGCTGCTGCTAGTCGCTGTAATGGAGCTTTCAGAGGTGCTGGTCACACTGGAGCTTTCAGTGGTAGTGGTAGCGACGCTGGTAGTAGAGCTGTCGGAAATGCTGGTCGCTGTAGAGGAGGTGCCAGAGGTGCTCGTTGCACTGGCGCTGGTGCTGGTCGTAGTGAGAGTGACGGTGGTCAATGATGCTGACGTGCTACTTGTACCACTCGTGCTACTCATTGACGATGCCGTCGTGGTGTGCGGCGTCGTAGTGCTGCTTAGCGTACTGGTGCTGCTAATCGTAGTGCTGAATGACCCTGACGTGGCTGTCCGCGTTGTGCTGCTGCTCGCTGTCTCTGAAATACTCGTCGTCGAAGTGCCGCTTGTGCTTGAAGCGGTCCTCGTCCTAGTTGCACTGGTGCTTGTAGTGGTCGTAGTGAGGGTGGCGGTGGTCGCAGTGGTGGTCTGGGTTGCACTGGAGCTGGTAATGGTGATGGTAGAACTTTCGGAGATGCTGGTTGCACTGGCGCTGGTCGCTGTGGTGGTGGTTGTGCTCGTCACGGTCAATGTGTTCGAACTTTCGGTTGTGCTCTCGGTGGTGTCACTGGCACTGGTCACTGCCATCGAGCTTTCCGGGGAACTCGTCTCGCTGGTACTCGTAAGGGTGCTGGTGTTAGTCGTCGCACTGATGATGCGTTCGGTCGTTCTAGTCACACTGGTGCTACTGCTAGCGGTCATGGAGCCTGAAGACATGCTGCTTGCGCTCGTGAGCGAGACGGTGGTCGCCGTAATACTCACTGTCGTCACTGTGTGCGTGATCATACTGCTCATACTGCTCGCTGTCGTCGAAGTGCCGCTTGTGCTTGAAGTTGTCCTCGTCCTAGTTGCACTGGTGCTTGTAGTGGTCGTAGTGAGGGTGGCGGTGGCCGAAGTGAGGGTGGTGGTCGTAGTCAGGGTAGTAGTGCTGGTCTCAGTGGCGCTGCTTGTTGGAGTAGTCGAGCTCTCCTGGGTCATAGTTGCACTGCTGCTAATGACGCTGGTAGTAGAGCTATCGGAAATGCTGGTCGCTGTAGAAGAGGTGTCAGTGGTGCTCGTGGCACTGGAACTGGTCGCCGTTGTGCTGCTGCTAGTCGCTGTAATGGAGCTTTCAGAGGTGCTGGTCGCACTAGAGCTTCCAGTGGTAGTGGTAGCGACGCTGGTAGTAGAGCTGTCGGAAATGCTGGTCGCTGTAGAGGAGGTGCCAGAGGTGCTCGTTGCACTGGCGCTGGTGCTGGTCGTAGTGAGAGTGACGGTGGTCAATGATGCTGACGTGCTACTTGTACCACTCGTGCTACTCATTGACGATGCCGTCGTGGTGTGCGGCGTCGTAGTGCTGCTTAGCGTACTGGTGCTGCTAATCGTAATGCTGAATGACCCTGTCGTGGCTGTCCGCGTTGTGCTGCTGCTCGCTGTCTCTGAAATACTCGTCGTCGAAGTGCCGCTTGTGCTTGAAGTGGTCCTCGTCCTAGTTGCACTGGTGCTTGTAGTGGTCGTAGTGAGGGTGGCGGTGGTCGCAGTGGTGGTCTGGGTTGCACTGGAGCTGGTAATGGTGATGGTAGAACTTTCGGAGATGCTGGTTGCACTGGCGCTGGTCGCTGTGGTGGTGGTTGTGCTCGTCACGGTCAATGTGTTCGAACTTTCGGTTGTGCTCTCGGTGGTGTCACTGGCACTGGTCACTGCCATCGAGCTTTCCGGGGAACTCGTCTCGCTGGTACTCGTAAGGGTGCTGGTGTTAGTCGTCGCACTGATGCTGCGTTCGGTCGTTCTAGTCACACTGGTGCTACTGCTAGCGGTCATGGAGCCTGAAGACATGCTGCTTGCGCTCGTGAGCGAGACGGTGGTCGCCGTAACACTCACTGTCGTCACCGTGTGCGTGATCATACTGCTCATACTGGCGCTGGTCGTGGCGGTCGTGTCTGAGCCTGTCACGGTCCCAGTAACACTGGTGAGTGTGAGCCTGGTGCTGGAAGTACTGGCGCTGGTGATTGACGTGGTTTCTGTGCTCGTCACGGTCGTTGTAGAGAACACTGTGGCGCTCGCAGACACGGTGGCGGTCTCTGTTTTGCTCATTGTGGTGGTCCAACTTGCACTGGTTAGTGTGACAGTGGAGCTTTCCGAAACAGTGGTCATACTGGCGCTGGTCGCAACGGTGGTGACTGTGCTCGTCCCAGTCGAAATTGTGGAACTCTCGGTGGTGCTCCCCGTGGTGTTCTCTGTGGTGCTGGTCACCGTCACGGAGCCAGAAGAAGAACTGGTTGCGCTCGTGCTCATTGTGGTGGTCCCAGTTGCACTGGTCAGTGTGACAGTGGAGCTTTCCGAAACAGTGGTCATACTAGAGCTGGTTGCTAGGGTGGTGACTGTGCTCGTCCCAGTCGAAATAGTGGAACTCTCGGTGGTGCTCCCCGTGGTCTCTGTGGTGCTGGTCACCGTCATGGAGCCAGAAGAAGAACTGGTTGCACTGGTGCTTGTCAACGTGACAGTGTCGCTCTCGGAGATGGTGGTCATACTGGCGCTTGTCACTGACGTGGTTTCTGTGCTCGCCACGGTCGTTGTAGAGATCACTACGGCGCTCGCAGACACGGTGGTGGTCTCGGTATTGCTCATTGTGGTGGTCCCACTTGCACTGGTTAGTGTGACAGTGGAGCTTTCCGAAACAGTGGTCATACTGGTGCTGGTCGCAATGGTGGTGCCTGCGCTCGTCCCAATCGAAACGGTAGAACTCTCGGTGGTGCTCCCCGTGGTGTTCTCTGTGGTGCTGGTCACCGTCACGGAGCCAGAAGAAGAACTGGTTGCGCTCATGCTCACTGTGGTGGTCCCAGTTGCACTGGTCAGTGTGACAGTGGAGCTTTCCGAAACAGTGGTCATACTAGAGCTGGTTGCTAGGGTGGTGACTGTGCTCGTCCCAGTCGAAATAGTGGAACTCTCGGTGGTGCTCCCCGTGGTCTCTGTGGTGCTGGTCACCGTCATGGAGCCAGAAGAAGAACTGGTTGCACTGGTGCTTGTCAACGTGACCGTGTCGCTCTCGGAAATGGTCGTCATACTGGCGCTGGTGATTGACGTGGTTTCTGTGCTCGCCACGGTCGTTGTAGAGATCACTACGGCGCTCGCAGACACGGTGGTGGTCTCGGTATTGCTCATTGTGGTGGTCCCACTTGCACTGGTTAGTGTGACAGTGGAGCTTTCCGAAACAGTGGTCATACTGGTGCTGGTCGCAGTGGTGGTGCCTGCGCTCGTCCCAATCGAAACGGTAGAACTCTCGGTGGTGCTCCCCGTGGTGTTCTCTGTGGTGCTGGTCACCGTCACGGAGCCAGAAGAAGAACTGGTTGCGCTCATGCTCATTGTGGTGGTCCCAGTTGCACTGGTCAGTGTGACAGTGGAGCTTTCCGAAACAGTGGTCATACTAGAGCTGGTTGCTAGGGTGGTGACTGTGCTCGTCCCAGTCGAAATAGTGGAACTCTCGGTGGTGCTCCCCGTGGTCTCTGTGGTGCTGGTCACCGTCATGGAACCAGAAGAAAAACTGGTTGCACTGGTGCTTGTCAACGTGACCGTGTCGCTCTCGGAAATGGTCGTCATACTGGCGCTGGTGATTGACGTGGTTTCTGTGCTCGCCACGGTCGTTGTAGAGATCACTACGGCGCTCGCAGACACGGTGGTGGTCTCGGTATTGCTCATTGTGGTGGTCCCACTTGCACTGGTTAGTGTGACAGTGGAGCTTTCCGAAACAGTGGTCATACTGGTGCTGGTCGCAGTGGTGGTGCCTGCGCTCGTCCCAATCGAAACGGTAGAACTCTCGGTGGTGCTCCCCGTGGTGTTCTCTGTGGTGCTGGTCACCGTCACGGAGCCAGAAGAAGAACTGGTTGCGCTCATGCTCATTGTGGTGGTCCCAGTTGCACTGGTCAGTGTGACAGTGGAGCTTTCCGAAACAGTGGTCATACTAGAGCTGGTTGCTAGGGTGGTGACTGTGCTCGTCCCAGTCGAAATAGTGGAACTCTCGGTGGTGCTCCCCGTGGTCTCTGTGGTGCTGGTCACCGTCATGGAGCCAGAAGAAGAACTGGTTGCACTGGTGCTTGTCAACGTGACCGTGTCGCTCTCGGAAATGGTCGTCATACTGGCGCTGGTGATTGACGTGGTTTCTGTGCTCGCCACGGTCGTTGTAGAGATCACTACGGCGCTCGCAGACACGGTGGTGGTCTCGGTATTGCTCATTGTGGTGGTCCCACTTGCACTGGTTAGTGTGACAGTGGAGCTTTCCGAAACAGTGGTCATACTGGTGCTGGTCGCAGTGGTGGTGCCTGCGCTCGTCCCAATCGAAACGGTAGAACTCTCGGTGGTGCTCCCCGTGGTGTTCTCTGTGGTGCTGGTCACCGTCACGGAGCCAGAAGAAGAACTGGTTGCGCTCATGCTCATTGTGGTGGTCCCAGTTGCACTGGTCAGTGTGACAGTGGAGCTTTCCGAAACAGTGGTCATACTAGAGCTGGTTGCTAGGGTGGTGACTGTGCTCGTCCCAGTCGAAATAGTGGAACTCTCGGTGGTGCTCCCCGTGGTCTCTGTGGTGCTGGTCACCGTCATGGAGCCAGAAGAAGAACTGGTTGCACTGGTGCTTGTCAACGTGACCGTGTCGCTCTCGGAAATGGTCGTCATACTGGCGCTGGTGATTGACGTGGTTTCTGTGCTCGCCACGGTCGTTGTAGAGATCACTACGGCGCTCGCAGACACGGTGGTGGTCTCGGTATTGCTCATTGTGGTGGTCCCACTTGCACTGGTTAGTGTGACAGTGGAGCTTTCCGAAACAGTGGTCATACTGGTGCTGGTCGCAGTGGTGGTGCCTGCGCTCGTCCCAATCGAAACGGTAGAACTCTCGGTGGTGCTCCCCGTGGTGTTCTCTGTGGTGCTGGTCACCGTCACGGAGCCAGAAGAAGAACTGGTTGCGCTCATGCTCATTGTGGTGGTCCCAGTTGCACTGGTCAGTGTGACAGTGGAGCTTTCCGAAACAGTGGTCATACTAGAGCTGGTTGCTAGGGTGGTGACTGTGCTCGTCCCAGTCGAAATAGTGGAACTCTCGGTGGTGCTCCCCGTGGTCTCTGTGGTGCTGGTCACCGTCATGGAGCCAGAAGAAGAACTGGTTGCACTGGTGCTTGTCAACGTGACAGTGTCGCTCTCGGAGATGGTGGTCATATTGGCGCTTGTCACTGACGTGGTTTCTGTGCTCGCCACGGTCGTTGTAGAGATCACTACGGCGCTCGCAGACACGGTGGTGGTCTCGGTATTGCTCATTGTGGTGGTCCCACTTGCACTGGTTAGTGTGACAGTGGAGCTTTCCGAAACAGTGGTCATACTGGCGCTGGTCACTGACGTGGTTTCTGTGCTCGTCACGGTCGTTGTAGAGATCACTGTGGCGCTCGCAGACACGGTGGCGGTCTCTGTATTGCTCATTATGGTGGTCCCAGTTGTACTGGTCAGTGTGACAGTGGAGCTTCCGGAAACAGTGGTCATACTGGCGCTGGTCACTGACGTGGTTTGTGTGCTCGTCACAATCGAAATGGTGGAACTCTCAGTGGTGCTCCCCGTGGTCTCTGTGGTGCTGGTCATCGTCATGGCGCCAGAAGAAGAACTGGTTGCACTGGTGCTTGTCAGCGTGACAGTGGAGCTTTCCGAAACAGTGGTCATACTAGAGCTGGTTGCTAGGGTGGTGACTGTGCTCGTCCCAGTCGACATGGTGAAACTCTCGGTGGTGCTCTCCGTGGTCTCTGTGGTGCTGGTTACCGTCATGGCGCCAGAGGAAGAACTGGTTGCACTGGTGCTTGTCAGCGTGACAGTGGAGCTTTCGGAAATGGTGGTCATACTGGCGCTGGTCGCTGCGGTGGTGACTGTGCTCGTCACAGTGGACGTATTGGAACTCTCGGTTGTGCCCCCCATGTTCTCAGTGGAGCCCGAAGAAGAACTGGTTACACTCGTACTAGTAAGGGTGCTGGTTGCACTCGTGCTAGTGAGGGTGGTGCTGGGGCTGGTGATCAGCCTGCCTGCTGGCCTGCGGGATCGGCCCGTGGATGCTGAGGACCGGCCCGTGGATGCTGGCCTACTGGTCTGCTGGCCTGCTGGACTGCTGGCGCCAGCCTGGTGGCCTGCTACCAGGACGTCCTCGAAGCCGGCCTGCTGGAGGCCAGCGCGTCGCAGGAATGCCCCGGCATCATCGCTGAGAACCTCAGCGGAGCCATGCCGGAACACCTGAGCAACGGCACGGCCGACACTACGACATAGCGGCCTCACGCGATGGCTTGCGCAGTCCGCCAGCGCGGCACGCCGCGTGGAGAAGGCGGGCGCCTACGCGTGACCTTGCGCGAGCAGCTTTCAAGCGAATTCATCAGTTCCCTCGGGTCGGACAAATCTGGGGGAGCAAACTGAACTGGGTGGGTCCTGAGAAGATCGGTCAAGAGGGGGCGATGAGACCAAGTCCGCTCAAAATTGTTCCCCAAGCTCCACGGGGTCCATCTGGAATAGTTCCTGGAAAGAGCATAGGCCCAGGGTTCCCTTTTAGTGTGGTAAGCCTGTCCCTGGTGCCAAGGTCGAAAAGGGCCGGCGGATTAATGCGCGACTAAAAATGAAGTCGAAGAGGGCAGGCGGATTCAATTCTGAGAATGTCCCGAGCGAAACGCTGATTTGAAATTCCGATCGGTGAAACAAAGGGTAAGGTGAACAGGTTCGTTCGCTGCGGAGGTCTCGAGCGAAACGCTTCTTTTGCAGAATGTGTTGAGGATGTCTCGAGCGAAACGCTTGTTTTGCCCTCTCGCTTGCTCCCCTCCTGAGGGCCAAATTTCAGAGGATGTCTCAGGCGAAATGCTTGTTTTCACTTGCCCAGATCGCCCAAAAGTGGGTTCTCACATGATTGTCCCCAGATAGAACCATATGTTTTTGACGGGTCCAGGTCACCCAAGGTGATATTTGAGATGAAGGTCCCGAGCTTGAGACACGTGTGTTTACGTGTCCAGGCCACCCAGTGGGGTATCTAACATGGTGGTCAAGAGCTGGAACCATGTCTTTTCACGTGTCCAGACCACCCAGAAGGGTATCTTACATGGTTGGCCCTCCACGTGCTTCTACGTGTGCGGGCCAGCCACGGAGGTATCTAACATGTGATCGTCTTGGGGTCCCCAGCGATGAGGGCCCACAAGAGCCAGGCAATATCAATACATCTACATCAGGTGTGTAATAACTTGGTACAATTTCTTCGGCTGGTGATTGTCAAGATTTCCTTCTGGGGTATCTAAGATGGTGGTCCCGAGCTGGAACCACGTGATTTCGCGTCTCCAAGCCACTCAGAGGGGTACCAATGATGGAGGCCCCGAGCTGGAACCATGTGGTTTAATGTATCCAGGCCACCCAATGGAATCTAAGATGGTGGCCCAGACCTTGAACAACGTGATTTCACATCGCCAGGCCACCCAGAGGGGATATCTATCATGGTGGTCCCGAACTGGAGCCATGTGTTTTTACGTGTCCAGGCCACACAGGTGGGTATCTAGCAGTGTGGCCCCAAGCTGGAACCATGTGTCTTTACGTGGCCAGGCCGCCGAGGGGGTGGTATCTAAGATGGTTGCCTCTTGCCCCTCGCTGGAACCACGTGCTTTCATGTGCCCAGGCCACGAAGAGGGGGGTATGTAAGATGGTGGCCACAAGCTGGAGCCACGTGTTTCCATGTGTCCAAACCACCCAGGGGTGTATTGAACATGGTTGCCCCTCGCTGGAGCCACGTGTTTTTACGTGTATACCCTCATGCACGCTGGGCAATTCGCTTCTCGGTGTCCCCGTTTAGCTCTTCTGCTGGTGCAGCATTTCTGCCTCGCCGCGGACAAAAAAATGTTTTTACGCGTGCGGGCCACCCAGGGGGGGTATCTAACATATGGTAAACTGGGAGCCCCCAGCTTGGGAGCCAGCAAGAGCCAGACAAAATCAATACAACGGCACCAGATGTGGACACATTTTCTTCGGAAAATAATGTTTCAGATTCCCCACTGGTGTAAATATGTAACATGTTGGTCCCGAACCGGGACCGTGTGTTTTCAGGTGTCCAGGCCACCCAAGGGGGTATCTGATTTGGTGGTCCCGAGCTGGAACCACATGTTTTCACGACTCCAGGCGACCCAGGTGGATATCTAACATGGTGGTCCCGATCTGGAACCACGTGTTTTGAACTGTTGTTGCGTGTCAAGGCCACTCAGGGCGGCATCTAACATGGTGGCCCCGAACTGGAACCACGTTTGTTCACGTGTCCAGGCCACCCAGAGGGGTATCTAACATGTTTGTCCCGAGCTGGACCCACGTCTACACGCGTCCAGACTACACAGGGAGATATCCCAAACGTGGTCGTCTGGCTCTATGCCTGAGCAAATTGTGAGGGTGTCCCCAACGAGGGCGGCGGAACTGAATCGGATCTTGAGCTCGAGCTAGTGGAGCGCCCCGAGCGTTTCGATTGCAAGTGGCCCGAGCTATGCGTTCAGACAGCTCGAGCTTACGATCCAAGTCAGTTCGGTCAGGATTCTGATGCTAACGACGGATTGACCCACAATGCAATAACCCACTGCACAATTCAATGCGGCATGTCCCAGGGGGCATTTCCACTGGCACGTTCCGTGGCGCGTGCCTGGCACGTCACTATGCGGCGCGGCACAGCGCAGAGCAGCACAACACAGCCCTTGGTCCTTGGTATTACCATCAACCATCACCATTGATATCTTCAGCACTGCCACCGACCATCGCGCAATTGGAGTATTTGGAAACGTTCCCATGCCTCACGATTTAACATTCCTTTCTGGGCTCGTAGGTCGATCGAACGCAGGCCTAGGTTTCTCTTTTAGTCGGTAGTGCGAAGAGGGTCGGCGGATTCGTGCCAAAAATGACGAGGTCGAAGAGGGTATGGTTTTTGAAATTCCGATCGAGAAACACATGGCAAAGTGAACAGGTTCGTTCGTTGCGGAGGTCTCGAGCGAAACGCTTCTTTTGCAGAATGTGTTGAGGATGTCTCGAGCGAAACGCTTGTTTTGACCTATAGATTGCCCATCCTGATAGCCAGAATTCAAAAGATGTTTCCGGCGAAGTGCTTGTTTTCCAGCGCCCAGGTCGCCCAGGGAGGCATCTAACACGGCGGCCCCCAAATGGGACATGTTTTCACGTGTCCAGGCCACCCAGGGGGATGTCTGATATGGTGGCCACGAGCTGGAACCACATGTTTTTACGTGTCCAGGCCACTCAGTGGGGTATCTAAAATGGTGCCCCCTATCGTCTGTGGGCCTCCAGCGTGGGGGCCCACAAGGGCCAGACAAAATCAATGAAGCGACACCAGATGTGTAATAACTTGGCATCGTTTCTTCGGCGGGTGGTTATCTGATTCATTGGCTTACGCCGCACCGCCGACCCTTCGGGGCGGCAGCAAGAGTGAAAGACAGAATTCACGGAACGCGCGCGATTGCTGGGCAATCTTGGGATTTCGGCCTGTTCTACGTAGCGGGGCCTGTCCCAGGCCTCCTTTTCCACCTCCTGGATAGGCTCGGGGATCGTTGAGACCCAGCTGGGGTTGCGTCCGGCCAGAAGTTCGAGGGTGGATCCAGCTGTGTCGACGAGGAGCTTCCTGAAGGCCCAGAGGGGGCGGATAGCGCCCAAGAACTAGGAATCTCATGCCTCGAGCCTCGGTCCACCCCGTGTTCCTTCCTTTGGGAAGGGGTGACACCTGCCAGGGAGGTCGATCCTCATCCCGGACTTTCGGCAGTGGTCCCCGGCACCGAAAACGGTTCCTGGAGGCTGAATCCCACCAGCCCTCTGGGCGTCGGTGGTTTAGAGCGTTTCCTCTTCCACCCCTCCTTCTTCCCCTTCGGGGAGGGGTTTACCCCTCCCCCTACCCCCTCCCCACTGACCTGGACAGGGGGGGCCGCGGGTAGTTAGAGCGTCCAAGATGGCCCAACACGGCTCCAAGAGGGCCTCAGGGAGCGCAAGATGACCTCCAAGATGGCTCAAGATAGCGCAAGATGCCTCAAGATGGTCCCCATGATGTTCCAAGACGCTCCAAGAGCTTCCCAAAACGGTTCCAAGTACTCACAAGAGCATCACTAGGACGCCTCCAAGAGGCCAAAATGCTTCAAAACCCTAGGGAAAATCAATGTTTTCGGTGTTCTCACTTTTTCGCTTGCGATGCACATCCGAGGCGTCAAAATGGCTCTAAGATGGCTCAAGATAGCTCCAAAAGGGGCCCAAGAAAGCCCCAAGACGGCGCCAAGAGCGGCAACGAACGCTCCAAGAACACCCCAAGAGGGGTTCAGGAGGCGATTTTAAAGGCTCTACAAGGGCGACGCTAAAAAATGCTTCCGCTTTCTTTGCCAGATCCCCTCCAGAGGCCCCCCAAGAGGCCCCCAGGAGGCCCCCAAGAGACCCCCAAGAGGCCCCAAGAGACCCCCCAGAGGCACCCACGGAGCAAAGATGGCC